TTGTATGGGTTGTTTAATTGAAAGAAACCGATGAGTTGATAAAGTCGAGATATTCGAGTTGTTAGAGATTCTTTGATTATTATGTGATTCTGCATTGCCTACATTATACATTTACTCTCTTGATGTAGAAATTCTTGTAAATCTTGGTTGTTGATTGAAATTGTTTGGGGAGTGGATTGCACGCCACAACGAAAATTGAAAGGTAATGCATTAAAATGGTGGAATAAAAACGGATTATGATATTTACAGATGATGATATGGTGGGATCGGGTTGCGCGCCGCAATGGATTATATATATGGTATTTGTTTGTGATTGTTGGATTTGCCTCGGTATGTTAAGATGAGTTTATGAGACATGTTATTCTAGATTCTCTGGTAGTTGGATTTCGAGTTCTTTTTTATGAGTTAATTGCTTTAGTTCCATTTCTTGTTTTTCCTGTTATTATTATTATTATTGCGTACAGGTTATTGTAAGTGACCCGCCTTAGCCCCGTCACTACTTCATCGTGGTTAGACTCGTTACTTATAGAGTACACGGGGTCGGTTGTACTTATACTATACTCTGCACTTCTTGTGTAGATAACAGAGTTAGTCCCAGCAACGCTAAGTGAGTTTGCTCGGATCCAGTTATTGATGGAGACTTGAGGTATAGCTGCACGGCGTCCTCAACTATGAAGTCCCCTTTTATGTCCTCTTTACTATTTATTTTTATCCCAAATAGTTGTGTTTTATTTAGACTATTATCTGTAGTACTCTAGACACTCATGTATTTGTGATACCAATTTTTGAGATTGTATTTGGATTACGCCATTTATCAATTTATCACTTTATTTCAGGTTATTCAATTTTATTGTTATCATTTGATTTGAATTGTTTAAAATGGTTAATAAGTATAGCTAATGTTGGCTTGTCTAAACTCTATATTGCTCGTTACTCTCTTCTCTCTCAGCGCATGATAGCGTGCTTTTGCTAAAATACCCTGAACAACAATGACGAGGGGTAGGCCGAAGAGAAATGCGACTACGATTCCGCTTATGGATTATACGGGAACTGGGAACAATACTCAGATCACTGGAACGCAAAGTTCGGAGATCACAGATGTGAAGAAAATTTCAAAAGAACAGTGGCCGCCATTATCAGCCATAAAGGAAGGTATGCAAACACCCCCTGCTATGAGTCCTCTACCAATGATTGATAGTGCAAAGGTAACTACTGGAAATCAGTGGGAAAACGTCAATGCTAGCTCAGGAAAAGTTGGTCTGCATGCGAGAAATTCAGAAGCAAATACTGGTAATTAGTTGAAGAACGGCAACCCTAGCTCAGAGAAAATTGCTCTGCTTGCGAGCAATTCAGAAGCAACTACTGGTAATTTAGGGAAAATTGGGGATAGGTTAGAAGATGATAAAAGAAAGGACAAATTAACAGCTGCGAGCACAGAGATAGACCAGAATAAGTGAGTTAATTTGTTTGTGGGGAACAGATTGGCAACAAAAGGAATGAATCTAAGTTTCATTGCACCAACCATAATAAATGGAGAAGTAATTGTTGAATTATGCAAGGAAGAAGTGGAAGAGGAGACAAGGAAATGAAAGCAAGCTTTGATCCTGTATGTTGTTGGAGCAACCCCAACAATATGAGCTATGGAACGTTTTATTGCTTCAGTGTGGAATTTTACAACAAAGCCAAAAGTCTACTTTCAAAATGATGGTTATTTTGTGGTAAGATTTAATTTACAGAGGACAGAGATGAAGTTCTGTACTCAGGGCCTCACATGCTGAATAATAAGCCGATAATCATGAAGGTATGGTAAGAAAATTTTGATTTTAATAAGGAGGTATTGCAAACCATACCTGTATGGGTAAAGTTCCCTAATATACCACTGAATTATTGAGGAGCAAAGTCACTAAGTAGGATAAGTAGTGGATTAGGGATTCCCTTATATGCAAATGCTTGTACTACTCAGTTGGATCGAATTACCTATGCTAAAGTGCTAATTGAGATGGATATTACTAAAGAACTACCCAGGGCCATTAAGGTGACACATCCTAAGGGAAGAGAATTCATGCAAGAAATAGTTTATGACTGGGTCCCTGAATTTTGTCATACATGTATGCAAGTTGGGCACATATGCAAAAAAGAAGAACAACCAACTCAGAAGATTAAGCCTAAGCAACAAAAGCAGAAACAAGAGTGGCAACCCAAAGCTAACCTTAGTAATAAGGTGGAGCAGGAAAACGTACCTGTTAAGAACAGTGAAGTAGCAATGGTTGCTGGTGCAAATAGCAATATTGCTAACCCACCTACAAGGATAGCTAGAGGAGAGGAGGAACATATTTGGAAAAAAGCCACAGGGAAATCAGTAGCTCGAAGCAAGAAGAAAACAGGAGCTGATGAAATTAGCATGATCAATGGGTTCAACATACTAGTAGAATCTGGATTGCAACTAACAGTTCCAAGGCAAATGGGTGAGGGTTCAAGTAGGCAGAGTAGCCAAACAGGAGTGGAAGGGTATTCACAATCCCTATTTATTCGTGTATGAAGCTTGTTACATGGAACATTAGGGGATTGAATAAGATCCCTAAATAGAAAGAGGTTAAGAGGTTTATAAGGAGCAATAAAATAAGTGTGATAGCATTACCTGAACACATAATAAAGGAGCAGAAGGCTATTCAAATAATAAGGAAGATTACTACAGGGTGGGATTGGTTAGACAACTATGAACACAGTAGCAGAGGAAGAATTTGGTTGTTATGGGATGCTAATGAGATAGAATGCTTGGAATTGGGAAAGTCTTCTCAATTTATTCATGCTGCAATTCACATTAAAATTATGAATATGATGTTTGATTTTACTGTAGTCTATGGCTTGCATACATTGGAATACCTGTGGAGAGACTTAGCTGATATAAATATTAGGCAACAGGGCCCATGGCTAATCATGGGAGACTACAATGCCATCAGGTCAGAGGAGGACAGGCTAATTGGGAATCTTGTACAAGAATTGGAGGTGAGAGATTTCAATAGTTTCATAGATGATACTGCTTTGGTTGAAATGAGGACCAATGGAAGGAATTTCACATGGACAAATGGGCACACTTACAGTAAAATAGACAGAGCTTTGGTCAATACTGAGTGGATGTTGAAAATGCCATATCTGGAGGTATGGGTAATGGATCTAGGATGCTCTGACCACTCACCCCTGAATGTGTCATTTGAAGATAATGAAGAGAAAGTTCCCAAACCTTTCAAGTTTCTAAATCATCTAGTTGAACACAAAGACTTCCTAGCTCTAGTTAGTGGAGCATGGCAAGAGAGTAATGAAGACAATACCATGAAAGATGTATGAAAAAGATTGAAAAGAGTGAAACAAGCTATAAAAGACCTAAATAATACATAGTATAATGCAGTAGGAGACAAGATTAAACAGTGCAGGAAACAATTATGTAAGCTGCAGGAACAAATGAGGAGTCCTGGACAACCTGAGAATATGGTTATAGTAGAAAAGGACATAAAGATGCAACTGGAGAAGTGGCTGAGGGTGAAAGAAGGTATCATGAAATAAAAGTCAAGAGTACAGTGGTTAAAGTTAGGAGATGATAACACTGCCTACTTCTTTGCAAGCATAACAAGTAGATACTCTCAGAACAAGATCAAGAACTTAATAAGGAGCAATGAGGAAGTAATACAAACAAAACAAGAGATTGAAGAGAAAGTAATTGGGTTCTATAAACAACTATTGGGATCAGCAACTGGAAGATTACCTGCTATTAATCTACTGATTATGAGGGATGGTCCATTGGTGAATAGACAACAACAATTACAGTTGGTAAAAGCAATATCTAAAGAAGAAATATACAAGGCTCTACTAGGTATAAGTGATAGTAAAGCACCTGGATGTGATGGATTCAATGCACTTTTCTTCAAAAAGGCATGGCCTGTGGTCGGAGACAAGATAACAGATGCAGTGATGGAGTTCTTCTCAAGAGATAACTTGTACCAGCCTATCAATTGTACAACAGTGACCTTGGTTCCTAAGGTAACAAATCCAACCAGAGTTACTGAATTCAGACCAATATCTTGCTGCACTCTCATCTACAAAATCATATTGAAGGTGATAACTAATAGACTGCAAGGCATAATGGATGATATAGTAGATAAAAGGCAGTCTGCATTTGTACCTGGAAGATTGATAAATGACAACATAATAATGAGTCATGAACTTGTTAAAGGATATGGTAGGAAAGGCTTATCACCAAGATGCATGTTGAAAGTGGATATGAAGAAAGCCTATGACTCTATTGAATGGGATTATATGGAGAAATTCATAAGGAGTCTGCAAATGCCAGTGAAGTTTGTTCACTGGATTATGAGAAGTGTGAGGAGTGTCTCGTATTCCATCATCATCAATGGGCAGCATTCAACACCTTTCCCTGCTAAAAAGGGGTTGAGGCAGGGTGATCCTTTGTCTCTGTACCTATTTGTATTAGCTATGGAGTACTTCACCAGACTGTTGAAGACATTAAAGATGAATCCAAATATTAACTATCACCCTAAGTATGCCAAGCTAAACATAATACAACTTAATTTTGCCGATGATCTGTTACTATTTTGTAGAGGTGATACTATATATGTGCAGCTATTATATCAGTGCTTCCAAGAATTCTCACAAGCTTCTGGATTAGTTGCCAATGCTGAAAAAAGTTCCATCTATTTTGGAGGATTCAGGGATGACATACAACAGGAAATACTGCAAATGCTAGGATTCTCCAAGGGGACTCTTCCAGTGAGATATCCGGGGTACCTTTGAGTACTAAAAGGCTATCACTAGTGCAAAGTCAGCCTCTTATTGAGAAACTGGTAGGGAGAATACAATCTTGGACTACTAAGTTCCTCTCTTATGCAAGAAGAGTCCAGTTTATTAAGAGTGTACTATTCTCCATTCAAGTATTTTGGTCTCACATATTCCTACTACCAAAGTAACTGATTCACTTGATTGAAAGCATGTGTAGAAGGTTTCTATGGACAGGAGGTGTGGAGGTCACAAAGAAAGCACTTCTAGTCTGGGACAGATTGTGTTGGCCAAGAGCAGCAGGTGGATTGAACTTGTTAGACATAGGCATATGGAATAAAGCTGCTATCTGCAAGCTACTATGGAATTTATGCAAGAAGAAAGGCAAAATATGGGTTTAATGAGTTCATGTATACTATAAGAAATATAATTCAGTGTGGGGAGATGAGCCAAAACAACCATCATGGGTGATCCAGAAAATATTTAAATCCAAGAAATACTTTGAAGAAGCTGGTTACTCAGAAGAAGAGGTATTCAGAATGGAAAAATTCCCAACCAAGGCTATGTACTTGAAGCTGCAAGGAGAGTTTAGCAAGGTTCCATGGAGAAGGATGATGTGCAACAATATTGGGCTACCTAAATGGATATTCATCTTATTCCCGGCTGCATATAGAAGACTACAAACAAGAGACAGATTGAGGAGATGGGGCTGTGTGGAAGATGATACCTGCCCACTATGTCACACAGAAGAAGAAACTATTGATCACCTATTCTTTAAATGTCTATTTTCAACACAAATCAGGACAGCAGTGCTGGAATGGCAGAGGGTTCATAGGCATGCGATGACATGGGATCAAGAATTGAAATGGGCTGAACAATACTGTAAAGGTAGAAGTTCTAATGCTGAAATTTACAGGATGTCACTAGCTGGAAGCATATATTATATATTGCAAGAGAGGAATGCATGAGTCTTTTAAGCAACACAGAGGAATGCTGAAACAATCACTTGACTGTTAACACAGGAGATACATTGTAGAGGGAATTTGAAGCAACGTTTGAAGAGAAGGTTACTAGAACTGAACTACTATCCTATTGTTCATATAGATATGTAGACAGTTAAGAATAGGTAGGAGTAGAGGGAAAGGAAGAGATAGCTGAATCTGGGACTTATGTCCAGATCAAGCTAAAAAAAGAGAATCAATGTGTAAATATTACTTGGTAATAAAATTATTTAGTTACCAAAAAAAAAGTTGGCTTGTCTAGCAAATGAAATGTTAGGCATCATTATGATCCCGAGGGTGGAAATTCCGGGTCGTGATAGACATATAGGCATAGAGATCTATGTTTCTCATGCTAACTGGTAAATGAAATGTCTTATCTGTTATTGCAAGTTTGGAAAAAATCACAATTATCTCATAAACTCATATTTAGGTGATTTAGGTTAAAGATTTGCCTTTAATTGTTATACTTGTAAAGCGTGTCTAAATTTTCGTATTTTGCGATTGAGCTGAATATGGTATCTTTTGAGTTATTTACTGTTACTGCATTATTATATCCTGTGTTATTATTGGTTACTGGAGTTGGACATTGACCTTCTTCCGAGCTCAGTACTTATTGAGTACATGGAGTTGGTTGTACTCATACTACACTTCTGCACCTTGTGTCCAGATATTGGAGTTGATGCTGCAGTGTATGGCGGGAGCTGGCATTGAAGACATGCCTTCTTTCCTCATATAGCTGCCACTTGTTCTTGGTAGTTTTAGATTTGAAATCTGTTTATGTACAATTTCAAACAGATGTTGCATTTATTTCCATCCGAGCTTTGTAAATCTAATTCTTAGTGGCTCATGTTTTGTACTACTAATTCTTTGGATATTGTATGAGTATTTCAGTTAATTCATTATTGATCTCTTATTATTCTCATTTGGTGTGTTGATTGTTAGTTGGCTTACCTAGCGAGTTGGGTTAGGTGCCATCACAAGCAGTGAATTTTGGGTCGCGACATAATTCTATTTCTCATTTTAGTGTTAACAATACTCCCTTATAGGAATGACATGTTTAAGACGGTAATATACAAGGAATAATTTTTTATAAGCACACAATTTTCAAAAAAATAAATTTAATCCATTGTGCATCAATAGAGGTCAAACAATTCAATTGTAGGCATATCTTTCTCTTAGTGAAAACTGTGTTCACCCAGCCTTATCCCCTCCTCCCCCCTTATGTTATTCGTCCGAATTTCTCTGTCTCAAGCCGATCTGTTATTTGTAAAACTCGCGTTTGGCTTAGGCCTCGTTATCTTCCTAAAGCTTCTGTAGGGTACTGCAACGGGAAAGGACAGAAGTCCTAATGCGTTAAGCCCTCTTAACAGTATGCTACCCCCTAAAACATGTGTTTTGACTATTTTGTTATTCCAATTAATTATTAAAAGTGCCAGAACGTGGCTATTATGCAGGAAAAGTCTTTAATCATTACACCCTCTTAAATGACCAAGAAATACAATTAGAATTAGTTACCTCAATTAAAAGGTCTAAATACGTCCCTTACGTTGCTGCCGCTTCTATAGATAGCGTTGGGTCCACCCTCAATTAATATATCTAACAAATGTATGACTTTACAATTACACTCAATTGTTGTCACTGTCAAATAAATGCATCAAGTGCTGCTTCATAATCTGTTGACCAAGCGAAGGCTGAGTTCATAATATGTTCCCACGTATCCCTCCGTTCTGATTTATGTGATTTATTTAGTCAATTTCAAAAAGAATAATACTATTCTATATTTAATATTATTAACTTTAAAATGCTAATGTTACTTTATATAAAATAATTTATTGTCATATAAATATTTATAGTTTATTTTATACGACAAGTTTCAAAAGTCTTTTTTTTTCTTTTTTAAACTTCATGCTCGCCAAATACTGCCACACAAATTGGGACATAAATATTACTAGAAAAGACCCCGAGTATTTCGTCGTATAAAATGTATTTTTATTACTTTAGGATCTGTTTGGAAAGTCACTAGGTAATTGGAATTGGTATAACTATTAGGCTAGTAATTACACAGCCTAGTAATTACAGAGTATTGTAATTACGATGACATGTTTGTTTGTCATAATATAATTACAGTGTAATTACAAGCGTACTGTATGGTTGCACAAGTATAATTACACAGTTAAATTAAATTTTAAATGAAGTAATTATCAAAACTTAAAAGTTAATATAACAAATATATGCCTATAAATGTTTTTATATAAATATAAATGATATTAGATTATGTATTTAATATGCATATTTTTTCTTGAATATTATGAGGTGTAGTTTCAAAAACTAGAATAATAACGCAGTTACGCTAAATAAAAAAAATAAAACAAATAAGAAATAAAATATACAAGCAATTACATGAAATCACAAGAAGTAAAGGTAGAGAAACAAAAGATAAATAATGTACAAAGAAAATATATTTAAAAATTAAAAAGTGAAATTAAAATAAAAATAAATTAAAATAATGGAAATAAAAAGTTATAATGAAAATAAATTAAAATAAAAAAAGGAAAAGAAATTATAAAGTAACCTTGTAATTACACAGTGTAATTACCACCAGTGGCGAAGCCAAAAAATTCAATAAGGGTGTTCAAATTTTAAACACCCTTTGCTAGTGGAATATGCAAGGGTGTTCAAAGTCTATTTTTAATCAATAACAAGTAATATTTTTCCTTATACGTAGTATAATTTTTCAGCGAAGGGTGGTTTATTGACCACCCTTGAGCCAACATAGCCTCGCCCCTAATTACCACCAATTCTTACCTCCCCTTGAGAATTGAAAAGTGTAATTACACCTCTCTAATTATACTCAATTTCATAATGACCAAGTAATTACTTTTATTTTATTTTATATATAATTCACGTCTTTAGGTGGCGCTGGCATTTATTGCAAACCAAAAGATTATACAAAACAGAGGGGGGCTTTTGATCCAAAACCTCCCGCAAATGAAACTGATTACAAATGGACAACATAGTAGAGATAAGGAAAAGTATATCCTGCTATACATTGTCTTGTAATTTAAGATAGATACAACAAAAAATACCGGATTACCCAAAGAGGCTTTTCCTTTGTCTATGTCTAATTGACGCAATTTGAGCTTTATCAAGAACATAAGGGCATATCGCATTTCTAGGAAGATCTTTAAGATCATAGAAAACCGCTTCCATGTCTTCAATACTGTATTTGGCAATATCATCGGTGTTACGACCCCAAATTTCCTCCGTAGGATATCGTGTTGGCACCTAATTACACTGTGTAATTACTACCAATTCTCACCTCTCCTTGAGAATTGAAAAGTGTAATTATACCTCTCCAATTACACCAAATTTCACCAAGTAATTACTTTTTTATATAAGCGCTGGCCTTTATTGCAAACCAAAAGATTATACAAAACAGAGGGGAACTTTTGATCCAAAACCTCCCGCAAATGCAACTGATTACAAATGGACAACATAGTAGAGATAAGGAAAAGTATATCCTGCTATACATTGTCTTGTAATTTAAGATAGATACAACAAAAAATACCGGATCACTCAAAAAGGCTTTTCCTTTGTCTATGTCTAATTGACGCAATTTGAGCTTTATCAAGAACATAAGGGCATATCGCATTCCTGGGAAGATCTTTAAAATCGCTTCCATGTCTTCAATGCTGTATTTGGCAAGGGCATCGGCAACTTCATTTGCCTCTCTATAGCAATGTTGAATAACACAATTAGCCTGCAAAATAATTCTTCTAATCTCGATGATATTTTCCTGCATTTGCCACACAAATTTTGCATTGCCTTTTATCATATTTACAATTAATAAAGAATCACATTCCAGAATAAAATCCAGAAAGCCATGTGATATGCACCATTTAGACATGGTTTCTCCCACTTTAGAATACTCTCAATCTTAGGGACAAGAGCTAAAACTTGGGAACAAATACATGTCCACTGCCATGGCCACTACTACCCATAAGCTTTGAGATAGCCCATTTCAAATGGTAGAGGACTTGGTATTTAATTCTAGCCAGAGAAGTCCTAGAGTTCCCATATCTTGAAGCACATCTTGCTTTTCATATCTCCCAGCAAATAACAGTAGGAGTAATTCTAAGAATCACTTGATGGATGGCGTTCTTAGGCTTCACAGACCACCATCTAGTAAATAACTAGTGATGGTTAGCCCGTGCGCCAATCTCGGAAGGCTCAACTTTATGTCTTTACAAATTTAGATATGATTAACAAATTTAATCTTAATTTTGATTATGATTATAAGGGGATTCGAGTTAATCTTCATTATGTTATGTTTCTAGTTTTTCTTTTTCATAGAAGTACCTCGATGGCATTGGTTTCAAAAGTTGTCCACTTAATTTACCCTCTAAATGTTAGCTTGTTGTTTACTAATTTTATTAATTTTCAATTTGATTCCTATTTATTCATAAGTTAATATAATCTATTACATGATGTAACAAAAATTAATTATAAGTAATAATAGTAATTTCATATTTTTCCAACGTCGAAACTTAAAAACCTATCCATTTTTGTTTTTTGGAATTTACAAAAAAAATTCATTATAAAACATTAGAAAATTGTTCTCCAACACTTCACGAAGTCATACAAAATATGTTCAGCATTTGTAGTGCAAGAAAATTCTTCCCAAATTAAAAATTATTGGGAACTTGAACAAAGATAAAAGCAAATGTCTACTTTGTTCTTCAAGTTGAAGATGTAAACCTTTAGTTGTAGTTTTGCAAAAATATTTAGTGTATCCATTACGTGCACAAATATAAATAATCATGCCAAACTTCTTTGTAAAGTTTATAGTTTATATGCTTTCTGATTTTATTAACAAGCATTTATTATAGTGTTAACCATAGGCAAAAGTGACAATCTTCACTTTAAGATTAACAGTTAAAACTTAGAATTAAAAAGAAAAAATATTT